TGTAATGTTTTTTTAATTATACAGGTTTTCGTGTTTATGTATATATGTGAGTGCATGTACATATGTATGTAAACATAAATTTTGCATAAATATTGTAGTAAAATAGAGATCTGCATTTCTTAAACTTAATAAGGGTGTTCACTATCTATGGTGTGTTACTATGATTAATTGTAATCGAAGATTAGTGTAAATAAACTATTTTCTTATTTTATTTTGTTTTACTTTATATTATTCTATTTGTTTAATTTTATTTTAGTTCATTTATTTTGTATTATTTTTTTTCAGTTTATTTCATCCCGATTTTTTTTTCAAATATCTTTTATTTTATGAAATACTGTTTTATTTAATTTTTTTTTTTTAATTTTAATACTTTTTATATTATTTTGTTTTTTTTTTTATATTTAAAATATTATTTTATTTTGTTCATTTGATTTTCTTTTTTTCAATTATCTTTTATTTTATGAAATATTGTTTTATTTAATTTTTTTTTCATTTTGAATACGGTTTTTTTATTTTTTTTTTATTGTGAATATTTGTTTCGAATTTTTTATATTATTTAATTTTTTATTTGGTTTATTTAATTTATATTTAAAATATTATTTTATTAATTATTATTTTAGTTCTTTTATTTTCTATTATTTTAAACTAGTTTTATTTTAATTAAATTTATTAAATAATGTCTTATTTTAGTTTATCTTATTTTTTTATATATTTTTTGAATCTATTTCGGTTCACCTTATTTATTTAATATTTATTTCTCTTAGTTTTATTTGATCTTATTTATCTTAACTTTGAAGAGTTTATTTCATTCTTTTTTTAATTCAATTAAATTTATTTATTTTTGATATATTCCTTGGAATTTTGCATTATTTTTTAATTTCTATTTTTTTAAATTTATTTTATTTTAATTTAATTAATTTTATTAAATATTCGGGGGTGTTATAGAAACCGACACAGAATTGCTAATTTATCGGAATTGAAAATCCATATCTGTTTGAAATGCTGTTATGAAACCGATTTAATTTGGCTGTTTTCGAATATAAGCAAAACCGATATTCGAATCAGCTGTCAGCAATTCAATTTAATTTTTGCTCTAGTATTAATTATAATTATAATATTTGATGATAGAAGGAATTGGAGAAATAATCCAGAAAATAATGCGCAAAATTATAGGGGATAAGAGCAATCCGCTGGAGCTACCAGAGTCGATGTAAGTGCAATTTGTATTCTACTTATACATGTGCTGATAAAAAATTTGTTTTTAAATAGATTCATAGACCAATATCAATGAACAAAGAAGTTTTTGTAATACTGCTGGATGTCATTGAAGATCAGTTTTAGATAGGTTGTCTATCCCACATGTGCTCCAACTTGCAGCCACACTGCGGTTTTTGGCAGAAGACTTCTATTATCGGTCTGTGGTCCAGATATATCCTTAACGCGACCTGCAGTCTCGGTGTGTATAACAGATATGCTAAAGACTTTTGAACCTTTGAATTGCCCACGCTGGATAGTTTTAGGAATGAGCGACAATGGGAAATGGAGAGTTCGTGACCATTTTTACATCAAGTAACGTATTCCAGACGTACAGAACGTAACGTACAGAAATTTGAACACAATTCTGTCAACGAATAACTGATCGGTTTAATTCTGAAATTTAAACCGATAAATTGGTTTCTGTAACACCTAAAATCGACACAAATTCTCTTTCGAAAATGAAACCGATATGAAAACGAATAATCGGAATGTGTAATCCCTTTAACAGAATTCTGTCGCTTTCAATTCTGTTTCCGATAACAATCTGTTTTTGCATAATTGTTTTATTTTAATTTACTTTATTTTACTTTATTTTATTTCATTCCATGCTATTTAATTTAATTTATTTGTATTTTATTTAATTTAAATTTGTTTTATTTTATTAAACTCATTTCATGCTATTTTAGTTTCTTTACTTTTATTCTAATTATTTTTTTATTTTATTATATTCTATTATAATTTAACTTATTCTATTTTATTTTGTTTTAATTGATTTATTTTTATAATTTTTATATTACTTAATTCTAATTTTAATTTTATTTTATTTTGTTTTAATTTAATTTAAATACATTTAATTTTTTTTTTGTTCAATATTATTTTATTTAATTTGAAATTAATTGTAACTTAATTAATTATTTAATTTTTACAAATTTAATTTAATCTTTTTTTCTTATTTTATTTCATTCCATTTTATCTTGCATTATTTTATCGTATATTAATATGTATTAGTTTATATTGTATTTTACTTTCTTTTCGTTTATTTTGTAGCATTATACTTTTTTTAAATGAACTCATTTTTTTTGGTTTTTTCTTGTCATTGCACCAGAATATATCTATAATCTGAGCTCTTAGATAATATTGAGTTTGTGAATACCTTTACTCACATCACCGTGTAAAAATTGTAACAGTGATTCGCGTTACTATAATTTTTCATGTGATACACTGAACTTGTTTCCTTAATTAGTTCTCACAAGATATGTATTCATGTACGTCTAAACTCAAGCACAAGTATTTACATACATTCATGGATACAAATGCTTTTATTAATTTATTCTTTACGTATAAAGTTGCAGTGTGTTTTTGAATAGCATAATGAAAGAAATATTATTTAATAAATTCACTTTGCAAGTGCAACTCTTATTTCAAACGAGTTTTTTCTCTTTATTAAGTAAATTTTTTAAATAAATTAAACATGTTGTTTAAAAATAAAAATTCCTGCTTCGGCACGACTTAATATAGTAAATTCTACTTAAAATTACTTTACTGTTATTTGTTAATTGAAAAAAGTTGCAATAAATAACAGTGCATATTCTGGAGAGTTTGATTTTTGTGTTTATTGTCAAAGTCAAACTTTTAAAACTTTTAGGAGGTTTTTTAAATGCATTTAGATATGTAATAAATCGTTAAACAAGTAGAGTCTTCAAGTTTTCGATATTTGAATTGATTTATATTTTAACCTTTTATTATTGAAGGCTTTACATTCAATTAGTTCGTTAATTATTGCATTTATAGTACTCGTCGCTCTGAAATTAAATCAATAAAATTCAGCGATATATATTTAAATTGGTTTATATTGTTCGCTGCTGGATGGTTCGGCTCTAAGTGGCCGCTATCTACATATATATCAGATATCCGATTATTTTTGGTATTGGGATTTTTCCTTCCCCTTTTTATCTATGTAAACTGTCAAGTGATAGATCTCATTATTTTTTGTATTGTTGTTCTAATTTGTATTCTAAGGCAAATAAAGACAAATGTGGACTATCTATGGCACTCACTTAGAGCTGCTAGTGTAATTGTTGGGAGATTAGCAGGGTATTCCTGGCTCTATTTCTTTTGCAATAAAAAAATCTTTGTAGCAACCCTTCCTGTGCCAAATTTTTATATATTTTTCATTCAATTTTGAGATGGTGATCTTATGATGAAAAATTTTTCTCCAATTGCATTTAAGATCAGCAGTGGAGTGTCTCATCTATGGCGATTTATTAAATTCGACGGTTGATTGAAAAAAGTTCTTAAAGTAAAAGGAAAGTCTTATTTGCACCCCAAAGTGGTATTCTCTCAAAATGTTTTATGCCATCAAAGTCCGGATCGGTATTTCAACGACCTGACTTCGAATTTCGTTGATAAGTTAGATTTGTTGTTGTGGGAGTGATAGTGTTTAGCCAGATAAAAATCCAGATCGTTCCGATATAAAGAGAAAATAATGACCCACAGGACATTCCGATAGTAAATTATTGCAGCCTTAATATGCTGAGGTGCCTGGTATGTCATCGGATCTTCAACGTGTATGTCCGACAAATGCAGGGATCCAAAGCTTATATAAAGCCATTTCGGAACGGTTAATAGATTTTTATGCCGCGCTTTTATTTTGACATTCCCTGCCTAGGGTTGACTGCGAAATTAATTTTCTATAATTATGGATATTGGTCGGACCAGGACTACCGAATAGTAGTATGCAATGCTAACAACTCGAAATGCAGCTTATTTTCGCTATCTAGCGCCAGTTGTAAATAATACTTTGAACGGAGTGGAGGTCTTCCTCTTCCTTTGATTCCACCAGCGAGCACTTCAGGTGTAGTAAAAAGTAAAAAGAAATCCATTATTTTTGCATAAAATTTAATGGTTTAATTTTTCTTTTTGTATCCAGCGTTATTCAAATGGTTCCAAACGATTTTTGGGCAATCGAAACAGTGCTTACGGTCGGACTCGACAGTGTCCATGATTTTATTGACATTTTCGACAATTGGCCTTCCACTCCGTGAAGCATCTTTTACATCAAAATTACCTGAATGAAATTGTGCCTGATTGACTGTAACAGTATCAGGACAAGAAACGCTATTCACATTCTCAGCCGCCTGGCTTGCGTTGTCGCCCTTATGGAAGAAAAACTGTAAAATCTAGCGTATTTTCTCTTTGCTGGTGCCCATCTTTGACGCTCGCTCAAACGAAACTGTATCCAGTGCGAAATGTCATTCTTCTAACGCCATCCGTGGGAAAAATAATCGATTACTTTTTACTACACCTAACATAATATAATTGGCTCTTTGTAACCGCTTAAGCGATTTTCGAACGAGTTCCTTCTCCGATTTGTGGGGTGTGTCTTGATGTGTCCCCACCAATGGAGTTACCTACAGTTTATGCTAAGCCGCCTCCGAAAGGCTAATGGTTTTTTATGAGAATCTTATATTTCATGTCAGAAATGCACTCGGAGGACTTGAAATTCCCTGCCGAAGGAAAATTTAATTTAATTTTTTATTTTAAATTAGTTTTCTATAACCTTTGAACCTTGGTCTTCCGAATCGCATTACGCAATGCTAACCACTCGGCTACCGCTGCCACAATATCTTCGATATACAGACTTCAATTTTTAATATTTGTATAATTTTTATATTTTACATTTATTTGGGTATTTGGTAATAAAATATTAAAGTATTTTATGTTTTTTTTTTTATCTTTTACAGATTGGATGAAGATAAGTTCGAGTTAATCAATGTAAGCGCAAAATACTGTAACCTTCTTTCGGTGATTTGTTATTGTATTTATATTAAATTTTCAGAACACAGTATTACCAGAGGCTGTACAATTTTGGGAGCAAGCGCTGATGGTGCGCGAGACAAAGGGTGTTATTAGGCTGAATAGGTTTGTCACGAAGCAATTAAATATTTCAACATTTTTACTTTTATTTACGTAATATCGTATAAAAATATACAAAAATATTGTTTTAGAAAATGCAACAGCACGCAAGTCTTCGTGAAAAACGGCCTGACCCATTGCATCGACAACTGTAAAAAGACGACAATGTGCGGCGAGGTTGAAGTGCCGAAGGAGCATTTAGATGTGCGTATACATTGGTTGAGGGGAAAAGAGGTTTAATCGCCAATGATTTAATCTGTTCACTTTCCTATCAACAGGTTTGTCGCGTATGCAATGCGACTGGACAAAATTGTCGAAACGATGAGACCACACAGGCCGGTGAGGGCATTGAAAATGCTGACTTCATTTTCTACGTCTCGGCACGTCAAACGGAACGTTGTCATAAAGGATTGACAGTAGCATATGCAGCGCATTGCCAACAGGAAGCGCATTTGGATCAACCAATTGCGGGACATGCCAATTTGTGCCCGGAAAGTATAAGCACTAAGCCACAGGAACTGCAAACTTTATTATCTACAGTGAAGCATGAAATTCTACACGCACTTGGGTTCTCGGTTAGTCTATATGCCTTCTTCCGCGATGATGAGGGGCGGCCAAGAACGCCGCGTAAGCCAGATACAGGGAAACCTTATTTAAATGAAAAGTAAACAAAAATAGTTGCTTTTTCTTCTGTACATCTTAATAACGTTTTCACTCTCTTAATCCGCTTAAAAGATTACAAATCCATCAATGGAGCAATGAGACAATACGTAAGGTGGTACGTGAAAATTGGGCAGTACGCGGTGGTCATGTACGTAAAACCATCGATATGATGGTGACCCCGCGCGTTGTTGCGGAAGTGCGTAAACATTTCGACTGTCCTATATTGGAGGGTGCCGAATTGGAAGATCAAGGTGGCGAGGGCACATCCCTAACACACTGGGAGAAACGTATTTTAGAGGTACTATTTATATGCCACAAACTTTCTTCTGAACTATCAAGTAAGAACTGAAAAATCTCATTTATTTTCACAGAACGAGGCAATGACAGGTACACACACACAATCGCCCGTATTTTCACGCATTACTTTGGCTTTGATGGAGGACTCTGGTTGGTATCGTGCGAATTATAGTATGGCAGCACCATTATCATGGGGTAAAGGTCTTGGTTGCAATTTTGTTATGCGCAGTTGTAAGGATTGGATACAAGCGAATAATGGCAGGTAAGTTTTTTTTTTTTGTTACTGAGCAACTACATCTTAAGGCGTCTATAGTAAAACAGAGCTTAATTGTAGCAGACCTATAGTTGCTTTTATTGTAACAATGTTGTTCCAATTGGTTGTTGTTTTTTCAACATACGGAAAGGTTTACAGTTTTTTTTCCAAGCCGCCTCCAAATGGCTGAAGAATTTTTATAAGGAGCTTTTATATAAGTCCCTCCGTTTGCTTAACAGAAAACGTCTTTAACATCGAGATGAAGAAGTTTAAGGATGTCATCGCTTGTTATGCTAACGTAGTCCCCAAAACCCAACGGTTAGAAATAAAGTTTAGGGGTTAAAGTATTTACCCGCCGTAAGCAATGGTTTGAATCCTTGTCGGATCGTCAATTATAGAAAATTAAATTGTCTAATAGCGGCTGTCCTTTGGCAGGAAATGTCAACCCTCCGGGTGTATTTATGAGATGAAAATCAAAGACTCCTCTTAAAAACCATCAGCCGTTCGGATTCAGCTTAATATAAACTACAGGCCCCTCCCTTTTTTGAAAATACATGAAGACGCGTACCACAAATTGGACGAGGAGCTCGTATATATTATATTTAACTTCGGTAGAGAGGGTGATTTTCACGCCCTTAAGTATAACTGACTTCAAATGAGGCTTATTGCTCCTGGCAAATAGAAGCATTTCGGTTTTTTCTGGGTTATCATCCCGCTACCCGCTACCCTTGCAGTCCTTCCCTACTATTTATAGAGCATACTATTATTATCGATTACTTGATAAAACTTTTCACGATTTAGGTTGAAATATTGCCTCTACAGAAACTCAAGATTGATCACGAAACAGTCCAATTGGGATATGATGAACCCCAACTCCTAAACAATCTATCTTTCACAATTATTATTAGTTTTAGCTTTACTACAATTTGTATTATTTATTTAATTGACTTTACACAATTTATTTTATTATGCTCACAAAAGAAAGTCTAATGAACGAGATAATTGGCTGGGGTATGCTAGAAATCAAAACTAATTCACCGTTAATACAATGTTATTTACTGAGAACATAACTATCAATTACAGAGGCCGCTCAATTCATCCATTTTGCTCGAAGGTAAAGCAGGACCCCTTGCAAACAGAATGCACCGATGATCGCAATTCAGTTGCTTTATGCAATCTAATACGCCATGATTACGAATTGCCCAAGAAATATCAGGTAATTTGCATTTGTAATTGAAACTGAATGGAGCGTAATTTGTGATATTCGCATCTCTTTGTGCTTGCTTCAGAACTTTGACAGTATAAATCATGTGAAGAGCGGTGAAGAAGGCTACTACGGTGGCTCTGTATCATTGGCTGATCACTGTCCCTATATACAGGAGTTCACGTGGCGTAGTAAGAATGTAGTTGTGCGTGGCTCGCATTGTCGCTTTGTCGAGAATAATCCAAGTAAGTAGAGATGATTATTTTCGCCTTTACATAATTAATAATAATTTCTTTAAATTATTTGCAGAACCAGAAAAGAATTTCGCCCTCGAAAGCTATGGCATTGGTTCGAAATGCTTTGATCACAGCGATTTCATGTGGGAAGAGCGTTCATGTCATCAGACGCGTGAATGGCAACACTGGGGTTCCGGTTGCTACAAATATGAATGCTCCGATGGACGCTTGCATATAATAGTGGCAAATTACACGTACACTTGTTTCTTCCCGGGTCAGACACTTTCGATACGCATCAATGCGAATGGTTGGCTACATCGTGGCGCAGTGATTTGTCCGCCATGTCAGGAGTTGTGCGGTGAAGTCTTTGCCGAGAGGGAGGAGCAGTGTCGCATGCGCGAAGAAGCACCGCCGGCTAATAAGTATCCACGTGATACGCTGACGTGTGCAGCGTGTCGCGGTGTGGCTATCTGCCAAATATTATTGTTTGTTGCCATAATTGCTGCATTTAGTTTGCGAAATGCGCATACGCATTTGCTTGGTTATTTTGGGTAAAAGCGCTGCTTTTGCCATCAATTTCGTTTTGTTTTGTATTTTAATTTCGGGGTTGTCTACAGTGGAAAGCATAATAATTTCCTTAGTTGCGTTAAGTATAATGTGTAAAGTAACTGTAAGTTCAGATAGGAGAAGCAAATATTTTGTGTTAAATTACTTCAAGTACATATAATTAAATTATTTATAAGTGATTTGAGCCCGAATCTGACAGATCTGACAAAACTCATAACATTAAAAAATCAATAGGTAGGTAGTTCGTGCATATACGGAGCATAGTTTTAGGCGCACGAAAAGAGAAAGTTTGAACAAAAAGTTTGTCAGTGTCACATTATTATACCCGACTGTACCGTGTACACAGAGTAAAAGGTTGTGTGCAATTAACTGTTGCATGCATGTGGTAGTGTGCTAAAATGTGGAAATATACGCGTAAATATATTAAGATTTCGAGAATGAAACGATAAAACAAGTCGATTTAGCAAAAGCTAAAATCAATCAAAACCGATGAGAAAGTAGCACTCATAGCTTCAAAATTTAATCCATATGAAGAGCTTACTACCATTTAAACATATTTGAGCGTAATATGAATGTAACATACTCACACTTTTCATCGTTGACTTTAATTCTCCAGTCTTTTTTCGATGACAACTAAATGGTCTCCAATTACTTTCGATGCTTTTGTCGGGCGTTTATAACGGAATAATATGCCAGTGTCATCTACGTAAGTGGATGTTTGTATATCCCGATTGACTGTAGTGTATATAATGTATAATATAGACCCATAGGGAGTGATAAGTTCCGATTGCTTTACGGTAAATGTCTTGTTAGGCGGATATGACTCAAATATATAGGCAAGGTATTATACATTTTGTGTAATAAATCTTTGTTTCAAACCCTGTCAAGAAATATTGTACAGCAATACTCGACGAACTCGAATGCCTTTTTATTGACCTGTTCTGTAGTACTATGTTTTGCTGAAATCTGAAACTGCGCATGGTCTTTACCTTTACAAGCAGTAGGCTTTGTTAATTCGTTAATCTTTATTCGGTGATTTTGTACGTGTATTTTTTTTTTAAATATTAACAAATTGTAACATTCAAATAAGGTCTTTTTGATCATTTTTTTACCACTGTTAATTATTTTAACCCTTTGTTAAAGTTGAACCAACTGTTAGTTAGACTAATAAAATATCTTAAAAAGGAAAGAAAGATTTTAACGCCATAATCGCAAAGCCAAAATAATAAATGCACATACGGTTGCTTTCAAGCACTGGACTTTCCAGAAGGGCGCTCGCTGCCAATATCCTAATGGCCATCAACTTTAATGGATATGATAAGTTATCAATTATGTCTGCAAATGCTTAGTAAAACTGCTTGATTCACAATCATTGAAAACCTCCGTACAACCAAAACAGTCGGGTACCTAATGTTCGGTTCTATACGAATTTAGATATTTTTTTATATAAATTAGTGAGTTATTGGATTAAAAAGCCTATTAGACTAACTGAAAAAATATAGATAATTAAAGAAATTTTCCAAATTATATTAATAAATAATGACAAGATAAATTGTAATAAGCTCAAGACTGAGATCACCATATTAGGTACTCAAAATTACAATATTATTGCCTCCAAAATTGGCTAGTAAGACATACCCTAAAACGATATAGTTATTTCAAGTTTGATTTGGTGAGCAAACTCCCATACATATATATTGATATACCAATATCATACACACGATATAGATTTAATAATGTTATAAAGTAATGTATTTTAAAAAGAGAAAAAATTAATTACATAATTTTAATTTTTGTATTATGGAACGTGATTTTGTGATAAATTCTGTGCCGACAATGCCAAAAAAGAAAATTAAACTCCATTTGATAAAGTTCACATATGTATAGTTGTATTTGGTAGAGTTTTCAAAATTGGAAAATTACACAGCTCAGCTCAATAGCGCTAAAAGCATGTATTTTACGCTTTATCGGCACAGAGTGGTTTGTTCTTTATTTAACTATAGTTGAACATTCGATCAAGTGTTTTATGAATTGGAGCCATTGTACGATAACTGAAATTCCATTGTTGTTGTAAATAGGCAATTAAATAATATACTATGGGCATGCAAAAATATTTTAATCTTACTGAAATAAGTCACTTTCGTTCCTCTGCCAATTTTATAAAGGGATTTCCCATAAAAATTGGTATTTTGAATAGCCTGCAAATCCGGTAGATATCACTTTTGAAGATGTAATTTTCCGACACTTAACAAATAAAACCCATGCAAATAATAAAAATGGAACCATACACGCTTCAACAACGCATTGAAATTATTAAAATTCAGTACAAAAATTTAATAGAAAAATTACCCTATCTGATGAGAGTCATTGCCACCACGACGGTTACGTCAATAAACTGACTCGGAAAACCTAAGATTTATTGTTGTAAAGCCTTTCCACCCTCAATGTGTAACGGTTTGGTGCGGTTTATAATCCGGCGCGATGAAATGACTTTTTAAGACTGCAATTGGATGGTATGGATCTGGAAAACGATTATTTATGACAAGGCGACTCTACGTTTCCCACAAACAACAAAGCCATGAATCTTTTAAGAGGAAAGTTTCTTCGAATATCAAACTCCAACTTTTATTGGAAAACCCTTTATTAATGCTCTCCAAAGTTGCTTTTTAACAAATACACAAAGCGCACTTTTCTCGCTCGTTCTTTAATAAAAATCCTGCACAATACGCCACAAAAGTCAATTGCACAAATTATTGTGTCTATTTTCGCTTTCTTCAAAATTTTTCCCCATGAGTAATTCGTTTACAGTTTGAAAATCGTGCTCCGCCCATAAGATATTGCTTAGTTGACAATTTTTACATTTTTAATCAACATACACACATATATACGAAAAAATACTGATATTCATATAGTATATACTAAAAAGACATGCATACACATGTTTTGAAACAAGTTGGCAGCTATTTAGCCCAAACAACCTACTATTTGATCGGCATTATAACCAAAATTTAAATATCATCACAGCACTACTAATTGTTGCTCTAAATAAGCATAATTCAAAATGTGATTTATTTTATAAATTTAAATAAAGTTTTACTTTAAATTGCTGTTGGTGAAAAAAAGGCTTGTAGAGAAATTTAAATATTATATGTACATACATTCCCATTTCATCACGTTCCCCACTAGAACATGTCCTACGAATATATGTGGTATTTACTACATTATATAGATTAAATTTAAACATCGCATACTCAGTGTAATTTTATGTATATGAAAGCATTTTAACTGCCTACTGTAAGGCTCAATATTTTAGTAATTAATTTAATGTGTAAAATAAATACAAAAACACAAACTTGTATAAGTAAATAAGCAACTTATAGCGATGCTATTTAAGGGTGCCACATACAGGTTTTAAAGAATATAATTATTAGTAAGTAACTTTAGGAGAAATAACGAATTTTAAAATGAGCATTTATAATTTTTCTATGTATCCATAAAATATTTTTCTATTTCATTTTTATTTTGTATGATATGTATGCTTTAAGGAATCTGTATAAAAGAAAAATTGTTGAAATTGTTATTAATGTTTTAATTAGTTATTTTATTCATTGATCATATCTGGGGATGCCAAAATTTTTTTTACAAACGTGTAACTCACATAACCATCCATACAAATTTTTCGCAAAAAAATGTTTTTTTTTTTGTTATAAAGCGATAGTTTTCAATATAGTATTTTTTATTCTGAAGTTTTTCATTTTATTTGAAATGTGAACTGTCGAGCTGTGCAAAATATGTAAACTAATTCTAATAAAAACCTGTACATACAATAAATATATATTTAAATAGCGTTTTTAATATCTGTGTGCTTGTAACTAAACTGCTTCAAAAAGGCTGGACCGATTTTTTTTTTAATTTTGGGTGAATATCGCAAGTGTATGGGCACCGAGAAGTGGACAAGGGACTGACTTTTTAAACAACTCGTATTTGTTGTACTATTACAATTTTGTAAATAGGTGGCTTTTTGTTTAGATTAGCAAGAGCACAGTTTCCGGCAACTGCAATAGGTGGGAACTATTCGAGAAAGTTTTGCTTATGGTTCGAAATAAAATATAAACATTTAAAACTTTTTTAACAGTAGTGCGCAGAGACCACAAACCAGATTTGTTTGTTCCTTTCGACTTACGCTCTTCTTCTTCTTCTTTTGATCTACTGGAATAGACACAACTTACGTGATTATAGCCGCTGCTTGGTGCCAATTGGAGATACCAAGTACAGCAAGGTTCTTCTCTACCTGGCCTTTCTAACGGAGTGGAGGGTTTCCTCTTCTTTTGTTTTCACCGGTGGGTACTATCATTCATCGAAAATTTTTAAAGCTGGATTATTCTTATTCATCTGGTCCGCATGATTTAGCCAGTGTAGTGGTTGTTTCTTGATTCGCTGAACTAGGCCATGTCGCCCTATATCTCGTAGAGCTCATCGTGCCATCGGCTGCTGTATTCGCTGTTCCCAACTCATAAAGGACTATAAATCTTAACTCCTCACTCCGACTCATCAGATGTTGCCATCGTATATTCCGCCGCACCAGATAGCAGCACTAAGCCATGCCGCCCTATTTCTCATCAGGGCTCATCGTTCCATCGGCTGTAGTATTCGCCGCTCCCGACTCATAAAGGACTACAAATTATAGCTCCTAACACTAACTCATCAGATGTTGTCGTCATCTATGTCACCGCATCATGTAGCAGGACGGGAACGATGAACGACTTGTACAGTTTGTTCTTCTTTCGCCGAGAGAGGACTTCCAATTGCTTGGCAAGAGCTCTGCGCTGGATTTCCAGGCTGACATTGTTTTTGGTGTTGATACGGGTTCCATGATAGGCGAAGTATTTTCTTCAGCATTAAATTGAAGAAATCACTCGATAAAAAGTCACCCTGGCTGAAACCTCATTTGGTACCGTACGGCTCCGAAGGCCCTTCCCAATTCTGACTGCGCTTCTGGTGTTGTCCACCGTCAGTTTTGTACTCGTGCTGGCTGCTTGTAAATCGAAGACCGATCCTCTTTTCACGGATTTTTTCCAACATTTGGCACATATTGAATATCTGGCCAATGTTGGATTTATCAGATGTAAAGCCACACTGACAAGGTCTAATCTGTTTGTTGATGGTGGGCTTTAGTCTTTCACAGAATACGGAGATTTACCTCATGGTAATTAGTGCAGACTGTGGGCTCCCTTTTTTATGGATTGGGAAGAGTACATTTAGGCTCCCTTGCTCGGGACCAACCATATTTTGCAAAGAAGCTGATACATGGACCTTATCAATTCTTCACCGCCGTATTTGAATAGCTCGGCCGGTAATCCAACGACCCCCACCGACTTGTTGTTTTTCAAGCGGGGAATTCCTATTTGAACTTCTTCGAATTCAGAAAATGAAACCTCTGTTTCCTAGCCATCGACTGGGGAATTGAGTTCACCTTATCGGGTTTTTAATTTTCACAGCAATTCAGTAGGTTGGGAAAGTGTTCCCTGCATACTTTGCGCAACCGTATGATAGAGTTTTGGAGCATCATCCCTGCCTGCCAGCTTTTCAAACTCTTCATACTATGCATCTCGGCCTTTTTTTTTTGTCTGCACGTTCATCTTGCTTCCATCTTCCATTCTCTGTATTTATCGCAGGTAGGTGGCCGCGGTAGCCGCGTGGTTAGCATTGCGGAAGGATCGGGTTCAGATCTCCGTGAGATCAACATCCAACGGTCTGGAAGGTTTTCCACTATGAGCTGCACCCCTTAATTCGGATCTCTACTACCCATCAGAAGCGCTCAGCCAACACGAGGCGAATTGTGCTTCATCAGGACAACGTCAATCCGCTTGGTTGGGATGTTCTTATGCATTAATTTTTTAGTCCGGACCTCGCACCAAGTGATTACCATCTCCTCTTGTCTATGACGAATGATATAGTTGGTGAAGAATTGGCCTCAAGAGAAGCCTGGAGCCATGGATTTCTATGAAAGAGGGATAATGCCATTACCTTCAAAATAGCAAAAAGTTGTGGAGCCAAAAAGTGAATAATTGATGGGATAATTCTAGATATGATAAATAAAGCCTTTAATTTAATGCAAAAATAATGGATTAATTTTTACTATACCTATTGTCACATTAAGTTTAAAACAATCTATATTTTTTATCACTCTGGAGTTAATAGAAAGATGTGGAACGGAGGTGAGGTGAAGTTTGCCGTGTCCGCTACTTGTGTTATATAATTGTCGGCCTTTTGAATTAGCCCACCCGGAACTACCTGCCAGTATCTACAGTAAAACATTAAAAGTTCGTTTTTCAACTTTATATTTTATTTTCATTGTTTTTTTAAGGCATTTATAAATATTAAGTTTATGCATATAATCAAAACAAACCCGAAACATACATACATATACAAATAAAATAAAATATAAATACAATACGTATATTTAATTTTCAATCAGTTTAAAAAATATCAGCTATATTATTAATAAATATTTACAATATATTATATTATATATAAAATACAATACATACATACTACATACAATATATAATAATATGCTTTGAATTAATAAAGAATTTTTATATGATTTCACAAATAAATTATTTAAAACATAATTCAGTCCCTAAGTCCTTAAGTCCTAAATCGGGCTCAGAGCGCGATACATACATACATATGTACATACTTACAAAATGATGATTAAATAGCAACGAGTAACTTGTTTTATTTTTATTTCTTTTGACAATTTAATAGCAAATTTAAAAATTTTATTTACATTTGCATGAAATATAAAGAATTTAAATAAAGAATCTGCAGTAAAAGTTTGTGTGCGCAAAGAGATTTTGCTTATTTTATACAGGGCTATCCATTTTTCGGTAAACGTAAATAAAATACATTTAAAATAATTTTTTTACGAAACTACTTTTTTATTATAAAGTTTGAAACTTGGCATTATGCATGCATATGTGAAACACTACATCATTAAAATGGGCACCTCGCGATTTTTGAAAACCTCGATCCGCTTATGGTAAATTTCGATTATTTTTTGGCACATATTGGGCGGTAGCTCAGCCATAACTGGAGAGTAAAAGGTGAAGGATTATCCGCACAGTCTTACGGTTAGTCTCACCAAAAAAATTCCAAGTCCGAGAAATTTCTCTCGAATAAAACCATATTTACACCTGTTGAGTGTGTTGTGTGGTATGTGGCACCATCTTCGAAACCACTGGTTGTCTGTTCAAGTCATCTTCCTCGGTTGCAGGCCAAACAAGTCGGTTACCATACGACCATAACGCTTCAAATTGGCGATGACAGCCGCGGCGTAGTCATTTTCAAAGTAGTACGGCACAATCACACCTTCGGGACCAAAGAGTTGAATGCGGAAAGGGATTTTGAAGAAAATATAGTTTTTGATGAGTTTGAGGTGAGTTTTGTTTTGGCAAAACTAAGCAACTTTCGTTACATATTTTACTGGAGTTTTTTTTTTTTTTTGCTTAAAGAGGGATATTCACAATGCAGCGATTTATCATTTGTTATTTATTTTCAAACATGTAATAATGCTGTTTAATTCGAATATTAAATATGAAACCCTTGATTTCGCATAAAATAAGTACACATTTTATATATTTACAAGCGAAAGGTGAAAATTTTTAAAAGCGAAATAACTATTTTTTTTTGGAAATCGCACTCATTGTCCAAATTTCTAATATACATTTATAATTGACATTGGGATATTTGCTCATTTGGCTTCTTAAAGATTATATTTACATACGCACATACATTTACATACACATACACGAATAAGTTAATTAGACACCAATATTTTAATAAGTTAATTAGTTATGTTTTTAGTTTTATATTTGAAATATAAAAAGAAAATTTTTAAATAACATAATTTTTAAATATAACTGCATTCATACATTTCTTTTGTTCATACAATAAAAGATTAAATAAAATAATTATCAGATTTCCTACTTAGGAACTAGTGAATGAAACAAACAAAAAAGTGTTCAATAAGCACACAGAGTCAACAAATTATTTAATACGATACTTAAGCCACTTACTAAGCACTTATTAATATTGTTTTTTATTTTTATTTCTAAAAACTAAACGGTGATGTCTCATTTTGCCTAAATCAGCATTTTGCACCGAGCATGGTACTTTATCGGCTAAATAGCGAACGAGGCCTGCCAACTAGCAGCTGTGCGGCTCTCCTCCGCCAGGTCACTGGTAACGCCACTCCTGCGGCAACACAATATCCTTTATTGCATATAAAAATCGCGCATACCAGTGTATACCTGCTGTGGGCGTCGTCGCAGCGGATATCGTTGAATTGGCATTGACGCTCTTTGGTTGCTCCGCCAACGCGTCCACTTCATTGCTACCCGGCAGCCACGAACGCATTGTCGCCATCAGACGCATAGGCGCCAAGCCCCAATGTGCCAATTTTTGACTATTCACCACCGCATAACAGGATGCTGTCACCGAGTCTACCACGATGGTGCCCTCACGTGTTAGCGGCGCTACAACGCCCGGTTTATGCGCCACCTTCAGCCGTAGCACACGTTGTGGACTCAAACGGCCATATTTGTCGTGTACCAGCACATAATCATCTTCCTGCACACGATCGGCAAATATATATTCGAGTCGTTGTTCTTGCGGATGCCACACCAGTACCAAATGTGCTGGCGTTACTGTTAGAGTAGCGCCGCCATCTGTATGTATTTGTACGAAATTCTCCACCAGTTCCAAATTTCGATCCATAAAGAGTATAACTTCACTATAGACGGGTTGGCCTTTCGCGTTCATGGCGAGCACGCGATCGCCGATTGTCAAGTCGCGCATTGACTTATATTTTCCGCTCTCCAGCAATACGCTGCTGTCGGCAGCAAAACAACCGCTCACGTGTGGCAAATGTTGAGAGTCTAAAAGAGAGAAAGAAATAGAGAATAAAGTGGGAAGTTAGTATGAGTTTGTGTAAAAAGTAAAAAAAAAAAGAAAAAATATTAACTATTGTTGTTGTTGTTAAAAATCTTATTATTTTTCACAGCGTGAATATTTCATATTTCACATAAACAACTAAGCGGCCACGAGTCACACGAGTCACTGCGTTTTGTATACATTTTTTAATCTCAGCTCAGCTCACGATCTATTTTGGTTGCTGCTATAAGTTAATCCTCTTGTAAAAGGAGTTTCTAAAGGTCCACAATTGTCTATGGATAACAGTAATTGGCTGTGCACAGCAAGCATCTAATCCAATTTCTTGCAATAAACAGAAGTTTGGCTTGCTACTTGCAAAAACAAAAAGGTCTGGTTAACAGACTCGTTGGGTTTCGTTTTTAAAGAGTTTTGGGTTTTTGGATCCTTAGTGGAAAATATTTTCCTGCCGATTAACGGCGAAAGGTTAAATGCCAATTGGTTTTGGGTTTAAGCGGCTACAGTTGAAATTCGGTACGACTACATTTCAATACCAATAGTTTTTGAGTTGTTTTTGAAGCTTCAAAAATGTATTAGAAAATTTGAAAACGGATTATTTACAAATCACATGAGGCAAGCGATTAAACTTGATGCAGATAAGAATCTAAAACACTAATAAAAGAATGCGCATGCGCTCTTTTGGGTTAAAATAATATTGTTGTAAGTAAAATGTTTTTTTTTTTGTTTTGGAAATTGCTTGAAGAAGCTAACGAAACATTTAAAACATTATTATATCTTCGTTTACTCTGGATCTCCGAACCATGAGAAAATTTAGCCTAATTATATAATAATAATTAGCGCTATGTAACCGCTGAAACGATTTTTGGGCAAGTTTTTTGTGTTTTTCCAACAAATGGAGGTACCTACAGTTTCTACTAAGCCGCCTCCGAACGGCTGATGGTTTTTTTATGAGAAGCTTTATTTCATGTCAGAACAACACTCGAATGGTTTGACATTCCCTGCCGAGGGGCGACCGCAAATTAAGCTTAATTTTTTATTTAAATTAATTTTCCATAGCTGTTTGGATGTAACTACGACAACAGGATTTGAACCCGAGCCTTCCGAATGCCAGTACGCAATGCTAACCACTCAGCTACCGCGGCCGCTATTAGAAAATAAGCCGAATTATTGTTGGTTATTTACTCGGAATGCTCAAATTGGGGTTGCTCGATATTCTTCCGACAAATGTAGAGAGCTGCAGCTCTAAGCCTCCCCTGAACGATGATGGAACTTTATGGGAAGTAAGTTATTTTATATCAGAAATGCACTCTAAAGGGTTTCAATTTCTCCTGAAGGTTTCGCAATTACATTCCTATAACTAAAAATTACGATTTTACCAGGAATCTAACCACTCGGGTGCTGCGCTCACCAAGTAATTATATTCATAAATATATATATTCGCGTTTTTTCAACAATCCAGTTTATACTAAGCCTCCCCTGAACGGCTGATGTTTTCTTTTGTGCTTCGATGCGCTTTGGATATATGTACATACGTGTATTTCAGGATTCAAATACCACACAGGCTTTGCATTCAACCTTTTGATGAGGCATAATAACCGTTTTCTAAAGAATAAGCATCTTCCTGTGGGTTTATAGATCTTTCGCGGTGCCTCCAATATTTTATGAAACTACGCTCCAGAACTTGCTCGAATCACTTCTTCGAAAATATAGTTGGGAATCTCCATAAATTTTGTAACGTGTTTATTGAAAGCTAAAAGATCTCTAATTTGTGGCAAATTACCAAATAAAGTCATTGCAAAGGCTTTCTTTTAGTAAAATCTTGACTAGATCGAATGAATCGATTATGATCTGTGAAATTGGAGAAGATCAAAAAAAAAATTTGGAACAAAAAAAGCTTGGCTCTAAAGCCATATTTATATACATATCTATTTTTTAATATACATATGTACATACATTTGTACATGTATTGTATTTAGCTATGTACACGGGTGTTTGTGAAAATATTTGAAAAACATTTAGCAGCCAACATAAATGCTGATCTATCTATGCATATAGGGGCATATATATGTATATGTACATAAATAAGTACTATGTATGCGACAATCTATAGTTAAAGCCTTTGTTACCAAGAGCCAAGCCGGCCTGTGTATGTAGCATATAGCGGCCTAAAGCGGCCGCTTCTTGAAAGGTCATAAATTAATAAGCCATTAAAATGCCTGAAATTATCTTTGTGCGCTTTTGTTTGTTGTTGTTGGCCTGCACGCCTGCTGTACTCGTACAATCGTACAATGTTACACAAGCAACATACAACATAACATACATACACACATACATACGAGTACAAATACAAGGTGTTGTGATCTGTTCGGTCTCAGGCATTTTATCTTCACTGGCGGTTGGTAAAACTAAACTGATAAATTATTACAAAACACAAAACAACAATTTCAACTGCAACAACAACAACAACAGCAGTAGCAGCGAGAGTATAGGTAAGAAGAAGAAAACCGTTTAAACGTGCGCACAACACCATTCAGGAATGGTCATAACAAGAAGATGGCCACATGGAGGCAAGAAAATATTTTTATAGGCATTTATTACTTATATAAGTTTGTATGTACACACATATATATTCGTATATGTGTATATTTTTAGGTGCATTCAAACACGTAAATATGTACATATACATATTTGATCGAATTTTTTTTTTAAAAGGTTCGCTTATAGACAAAATCTGTTGCACATGACAGAGTTAGATCCGAAAGTCAAAGGATCGTGTCTTCGGCCGAACTCTTTTGGGTAACAGCCTGTGAAAAAGCGTATGTAAGTTGGAATTTGACTTTAAGTAAGGATGTAATACAAAGTTTTTGGTTCATTTTTTACCTAAACAAAATGCAATATTAAATCAGTATCAAAGCGACTGCTTCACTTCCCGAAAATAACAACAATTTTCCACACAATAGAGAAGCACAATAAAAAGTGTAGTTACACTGGTCATATGAAAAAACTGTGGACGAAATATCGGGCTAGTGACATCAGCTGGGTCAGTCAGTTCAACCGAACCGAACCTTAATTAATTGTGACCAAAGTCTTCTCCTCTGTGGGTATAGAGTCGAATCGCTTTTTCAATTGAGAAATTTCACAGTTGAATGGTTTGGTATTGTATTAACACAGAGGTACTTTTGGATGCATCTTAGGCAGATCAAAATACTTTTAAAATTTTGCACAGGACACTGTTCTATCAAAAATTTATATGATACCGCAACCGAAGAGGACGCACCATTCCTTCGTATTCGTCTGTCTTTATCAAGCTTAGCGCTAAATGACTGCTTGCGTGAGATGTGTATCGCCTGGGTAAGTTTTGTGATGACATTCTTTAGAAATAAATTTTATCAAAATGAGCTCCACATAGAATCATGTTTTTATAAAAAGCTCATGCCCGCGGAGGGATCACACTATTTCATCGCAGAACCAGTGAATCCAAAATATATCCAACCGCCTCCTGCACGATATCCACACTTTTAAAGTATTTTTCTTGCATTGGCAACCATTCGCTGCTAACAGCTCATACCAAAAGATAGGTAGGTAGGTAGGTAGGTAGGTAGGTAGGTAGGTAGGTAGGTGTTGGCAACCGCTTCCGCCATTAACAACCAACAAACTCAAATTTGTGTAGCTCTCATTAATTATAAGAAACTACCAAAAAGGCTGAGAGGCAGATGGTAATTGATTCTACCTAATTCGCGTGCAACCGATCGTTATCCAATTAATTTAATTCGTTTGCTTACGACGAGGCACAGTCTTGTGTGTAGTAAGTATAGTATTGTGCACTGTATATGCGTGTGTATGTGTGTGGGTACAAGTGTGTACATACAATAGTATAAGCAGACCTCCTTGCGGGCACGCCTGCCAAAATAAACTAAGCCAAAACGGTAAAAAGGTAAAAAGGCAGCGGAGGAATATAAAAGAAGAGCGAATAACTGAAGTGAGGAAATATAAATGGCAAGTACATATACATATGTATGTATACACATACATAACGTATATACAAAACAACAATAAAGGCTTGTTGGTAACACGGGGGTTGCACCGTTTCTCAGTTTCATTACATTATCAACGCCATCAATCTCGGTAATATGCTTAGTGTGGCGTATTATTTCACCGCAAGTGCTCCAATGTACATACATACACTATATACGTATGTAGGCATCTAAGTATGCTTATCTCACAACTCTTCGCTTTCCTGTTGCTATTGTATTGTAATTGCGTGTACGGCTCATGTTGCACATTGCACATTTCAGATTGCCTCATATCCTTTTGAGTCTTCAATCGTTAAATATATCGGTATTTGGTTACCCAAGCGAGCAGCAAAGTGGAAACAACAACAACAACAATAACGACAATAACAAACGGACAGGATAATACATGCGCTGTGAACGGACAAAGATTAGACCACACATTGCCAGCTAACCATACTTAGCCACTGACTGACTGACTGAGTGACGGCTGTTACATATTCTCATACACACATACATATATGTATAAGTGAATGTTCATATATGCAAGTAAAGTATTGAGCAGCGGGAGTGAGAGTGCGTGTGCTGTGAAAATTCTTTGTGCTCTTGTTGGCGCAGAGGAATATTGATATTGGGATGATCCTTCTGCCTTAAATTATTTTTGATTTTCATCCTGCGTACCTTGTGAGGTCATCTTTTTGTTGTTTTCCCATTGTTGTTGGTGATTGTCGGCATGTTTTTTGTTTTGCTTGCAAGCAGGATCACGCAATTAGATTAATAAACCATAACAATGGCTCGAAAATAGGGACTAAAAAACGAGCAGTCAGCAGAAAAGGATCAGTTTTAATGTTTGTGTGTGTGTGCGTGGGTTTGTCAGTTTGTCGGTTTGTTTGTGCCATAACTTTTACAAATTTCTTTGACAGTCGACAACAAGGACTCTTCATGTCTACTCGTAGAGAGCTATTTGAGATCATGCT